CGTGGTAATGCTGTGAGGTGAGTACTATCTTCACGCTCATTTTATAACAAAGAAAACTGAGGCACAGAGGAGTGAAAGTCACACAGTCAAAGATGTCAGATAAACCCACATTGAAAGATATTCCATAAAAACCTAGTCTGTATTCCAAAAATGTCCGTGTCTGGAAGCACAAAGGCTTAGGAATTCTTCCAGATTTAAGTAGACTAAACTTGACAACTGAAGGCAATGCATGATTCAGAATTTTATTGCCATACAAGACATTTGGAATCATTGGTGAAATCGGAATGAGATCTATAGATTAGATAGCAGTACTATGTCAGTGATAATGTCCTGGTTTTGATAATCGTACTATGCTCGTGGGGGAGAATGCCCTTGCTTTTAGGACATAACACCAAAGTATTAAAGGGTATAGGGGCTTCATCTCTAAAACAACTCAAATGAGTCAGGAAAAATATTATAGATAGGTAGATAGGTAGGTAGATAGATAGATAGTAAATATGGTAAGATTATTTGGGGGATCTGGGTGAAGGATATACAGGAGTTCTTTCTATTCTTGCAACTTTTCTGAAAGCTTGCGATTATATCAAGACAAAAAGTTATAGAGAAAAGAAACCGAGTGGCAGAGCGGGGAAGGCGGTCGGCCTGGAGTGCATGTTGGTTCCTATTCGTCCCCTCTGAACGCCGGGCTCTGTGCTGTGGCTTCCCGTGCGCAACCTCATTCTACCCTCGCCACAGTCTGTGTGGGAAGAGACCATTGCCCCCGTGTCACAGATGCAAGTCAGGAAGGTGACGGGATTTGCTCCAGGCCCTCCAGCTGCTTAGGACACGTCCCAGACTGGAAAGTGGGCTCCGAGTTCAAGGCTTGTGCTCTTTGCCTCAACCCATCTGTTGCCTCTTCCCTTTGGGGCAGAGTGGGGTGGGCAGGTAAGGCCTTTCTTCCTGGAGCAGTGGCAGTGTGAGGGCCCCAGACAGAAGCAAACAAGATCCACTTGCAGGATGGAGGGGGTGCTATTCCAGGGTTCTGCGGGGAGCAGATCAACAGTGCCCCGCAGGACATGCTGGGCTGTGGAAGGGGCCGCACATGCCAGGTGGAGCTGCCAGTGGTGGCCACAATGGCTGCAGGCAGGGGAGCCACACGGCAGGCCCGGGGTGACCTGGGGCTGGGTGGGGTGGGCATTCTGGGTAGGAGGACGGGCCTTGGAGGAGCTCACTAGGAGGGGGCAGGAGTGCTCCACAGCCAGGATCTGCCTCCTCTCCAAGTTGGAGGCATTGGTGGGATCAGGAGCCAACGGGCTTGGCAGTTTGGAGAAGTCCACTTGCCGGATCTGAAAGGCAGCTGGCCTGGGATTGGTGGGCAGGATGGCTGCAGACTTGGGCCTGGCTGGCAGACCACCTGGGGAGTCCATGCGAAGAGGAGGGCTGCTCTCTGGTTGGAGGGAAGTGGGGAGGAAGAGCTGAATGACCTCTGGCAGTCCCTCCGATCACCTGGACTGTCTGGCTTTTTCCCAGATTAAAGAGCTGAGGGTAAGTGTCTGGCAGCTGGATGAGTCAGACTGGGAGGCTGCCTCCTTCCCCTGTCAGCCCGCCCAGGGTGGAGACAGGGTAGGGGTTTGGCCAATCTCCCCGCAGATGTCCCCTCCACACCCTGAGATCTGAGGGGAGCACGGGGGCTGAGTGAACTGGTTTGTTTGGCCAGGTCCCCTGCATGTGTCTGAGCGTGTGTGGGCGTGTGCGGCAGGCGCACACATCACCCATTGTAAAAGATCAGTGTTTTCATGGGTGAGTAGTAATTACTGGGTAATGCTTTAAAACCTTTCCTGAAGGAGCGCAAACCTGTTTTTTTCTAAAGTCAGGAGTACATTAAAAGGATTACCATGTAGATTTGATTTTTAGATAACACTAAAATGGATCCCAAATGGACTTCAGCAAAGGGATGCTATCTCCTTAATGGAAAGTGCATGGCCCGAGGCTCAGCTCCCAGAGCCAGGCAGGGGAGGGAGGGGGGAGAGGTGTCTGCAGGGCCGGCTGACAGGCTGGGTGGGGGCTGGGGAGGCAGGGTGCCCAGGGAGAGCCTGGACCCTCTAGGGAGCAGGGACCCATTGGTAACTCCTCAGAGCCTCCTTACCTTTCCAGGAGTTTTTTCAAGTCTTGCGGACTAACCCAGGGAGAGAAAGCACAGCGTGGGCGCTCCATAAAGAAGGGAGGGACCAGTCAGACTTCTCCCAGGACCTCAGCCTTTCCAGGCAGAGAAAGTTCAAGGCCCCCAGATGTTCTGAGACCTCCACCACCAGGCTGGCCCTGGTGTTCTGTCTCAGTGCACTTCTGGCAGAAACCACGTGGCTTCTTAAGACTTCAGGCCCAGGAAGCAGAGTTCAGCACCCTAGAGCAGGGTGCCCAAGCCTTACCAAGAAACTGCCGCATGCCAGGCCCAGCCTGGGCACAGGTAGGAGGTGGGGGACCTGGGCAAGCTTGTTTCTCCTGGCCTCCCTGGGTCCGCTAGGTACCAGCCTGCTCTGGTGATGGAATTGCCGGCTAGTGCTACAGTTTATAGCCCTGTGGCTCAGTGGCCAGGCATTCCGCCCAGGATCCAAGCCAGAGGGAGATGGAGAGGGCAGATGCTCCTAGTGCTGAGATCCCCTATCATTTTGGGGTATAACTTAGTGAGCCAGGTGCATCCCCTGAGGTGGATGGATATACCAGGCCTCACCCCCTCCTACCCCTCGCCAGTGGGAGCACAGCTGAAGAGCTCTGGCTACTGGGGAGGGGTCAGGGAAGCAAGGGCAAATCAGCCTCAGCGTCTATCCTAGAGGCCTGGCCTGAGATTTTCCAAGTTGGTGGCTATGCTGGCTGGGTGCTCCCTCTACAAGCCCTGGAGAGAAATCATCCCACCAGAGACCCCCCAAACCTTCCCACATCTTAACCCCTCCCCCACTTGGCCACACCTGGTTCCTCCCTGTATGTAGGCCAGGTCTTGAAAGAAGCCCTTCCCGCCCGCCTTAGTTCTCAGGGGTGCCTGGTCCCCAGCTGGCCTCCAGGGCTCCTCGGAGCTGTGACCGGGCTGAACCCTCTCAGAAGAGACGCAGGCAGGCCGGGGACAGAGTCGTCCTGAGCCCCATCACTCTCTCAGACCAATTAACCTTTCGAGCTGCACTAAGGAAATCAGGCAGCGAACTTCCCAGCAACAACAGCCCTGCGGGGACTGGAGGAGGGCGGGCGGAGAGAGCCCACAGCAGCCTGTGACACCACCTCCCTGCCCTCACCTGGCCTGCTGCCCTTGGCCCTAGGGCCACCCCCTCTCAGAAAGGAGTCTGAGGAGGCAATGAGGCTGAGAAAGCACAGGAGGAGGGCAGGGTCCCCAGGCGCCAGCTTAACTGGTGCCCCACACTAGCCCCTGGGGCTGCCTGAGCCCCAGTTTCCTCATCTATAGAAGGAGACCGTTTGCTCAGAATCACTCCGAAGGCCCCTCGGACCTCCTACCTGTGGATTTTGAGACTGAGGCCCCTTGGAGGCTGTGGTTCTGCCCCGCTGAGGAAGGGTCACACCAAGGAAGCAGCTCAGACAATGGACTTGGGTGTGGAGGGTGGGGGGGAGCCAGGTGATAGGATTTGAACCCAGAGCCCTGGAGAGTGCAGGGCACGATGGGGCCAAGAGCAGAGGGCAGAGGGCAGGAGCTGGTTGGAGAGCCAGGGAGGCAGGAAAGGGGGGGCTGTTCTCTCCAGAGCCAACCCCTCCATCCACCTGAGCCTGGTCAGGGAGGGAACATCCCACCCCCACCACCTTCACGAGTACTCACAGGCACCTCCACTCCCCCCAGGTGGGAGCTCTGAGACTCCCTGCTCTCCCCACCAAGCCTGGTCTGCACCACACTCAAGCCCCAGGGCTCCACATGTCCAAGCTCCCGGATGACACCTGACATCTGTCCCCCCCCATCTCCTCGGCCGTTCCTCCCTGTGGTCACTCTGCCCGCGTGCATGGGGTGCTCTCCCCACCAAGCCTGGTCTGCACCACACTCAAGCCTCAGGGCTCCACATGGATGTCCAAGCTCCCGGATGACACCTGACATCTGTCCCCATCTCCTCAGCAGTTCCTCCCTGTGGTCACTCCTTGTGCCCGCGTGCATGGGGTGTGAGTGATGCACACACCTGCCCACCGTGCTTCACCGTCCTCTGGTGAATGCCAGGCTTAGATCCCAGCCCCTCGTACTTGGCCTTTTCTTGTACGTTGAGAAGCTCGGTGGGCCCTGGGAGGGGGCCAGTGGCTCTGAGATTCTTATCCTGGTGGGAAGAACAGGGATCCAAAGGCTGGGAGCCTCCCCTGCCTCGGGCCAGGCCAGGGAGGAAGTCTGACTAACTGCAGGCATTGCCGAGGAGAGCTTCCTGCACACACCTGCGTGAGCTCCAGAGTCCTGCTCCCTCCTGGGACTGTCACAGGGCATCTTATATTCTTGACGCCTCCGTGGTTCTGCATGAATAAGCCAAGAGGCTGTAGTCTGACTTTGGGGTTAAAATGGATAAACGCACAGCTGTGTGAGGGAGTCTCGAGATGGCAGGAAGAACTGGGGGTTGTAGTGGACCCCATGCTCTTTATGAGGTTCCATCCTTGGGGCTGCAGGAAGAACCAATGGGATGGTGGCTGCATGAGGCGGGCTTCAGGCCTCCTGTAGATCAGGCTACAGAGGGGGCAGCCGTTGCATGGGGCGGAACAATCAGGGGCCAGGCCTCGGGCCATGTGTGTGCCCTGTGGCAGAGCAGACGTGGGCTCCCCAGTGCTGCCTGGAGCTTCCGGACCGACCTTCACAGGGGAGGGGAACAGACTGTGCCGTGCAGCCCAAAGGACAGGACCCAAGGCCAGGGAGGAGGTTGCCAGGGAGAAAGCGAGGGCTCCTTGGAACCCCATCCTGGAGGGGCACAGCAGAGAGAAGCAGCCAGCTCCCATTCTCAGAGGGCACAGAGCCGCAGGGCCCACCTGTGTCCATCTGTCTCTTGTCTGTCCGTTCGCAGGCGTGCCGATGCTGTCCGTCCAGCCCAAAGGGAAGCAGAAGGGCTGCGCCGGCTGCAACCGCAAGATCAAGGACCGCTACCTGTTGAAGGCTCTGGACAAGTACTGGCACGAGGACTGCCTCAAGTGCGCCTGCTGCGACTGCCGCCTGGGCGAGGTGGGCTCCACCCTCTACACCAAGGCCAACCTCATCCTGTGCCGCCGAGACTACCTGAGGTGGGCCGCCTCCCACCGCTTGGCCCTTCTGCTCAGAGAGCCCTCGGCTGTGGACTCAGCACCCAGAGTGCACAGCCTGAGTGTGTGCTCATCCCAGACTGTCCTGCCCCTGCCCTGTTCCCCCACATGCCCGCGGAGCCCCCATGGCAGGGCCATGCCTTTTACTCCTGGGACTCAGTGGCCAGCACAGGTTCCGGGCAGGCATCTGTAACCACAGGCACCTGAGCTGAGCTTCTCGTGGGCACCAACCTGTCCCTGCCCTGCCTTTGTCAGATGCTTCTGACCCCCCTGTCCCTGGATCTGGGAGGGGCTGCCTCAGAGGGGCTCCCAGGAGCAGGTGGGAAAGCTCTGACGGCCCTGGGTCCTCCTTCCCACCTCTCCCCAGGGCCCAGCTCCCCCCACTTTTCCAGAAGGGCCCTGGGATTAGACGCCCGGATGCCTGGGGAGCCTGGCAGACAGCCAGGCCCTGGGAGAAGGACTGCTGATGTCAAAGCTGAAAGACCTGGGTTTGAACTAGCTCCGAGCCTCAGTCTACCCCTCTGTGAAGTGGTGAAAAGGATAACTTCCCGCTTTGCATTCATCAGATCTCTAACTCCCCCTCCCCCACAGCCTGCATCCTATTCCCTGGGACTGCCTCCCCCAATTAACCCTCCCTTAGGCCGTCTATGACATCAGCAAGGCTGGAAGGAGGCCACAGAGCAAGGGCCTTGGCGGAGACCCAGCATCTGCATTTGGCTCTCACACAGGCTCTGGGTGGTGGCTGGGCCTTGTGGGGAAGAAAGGCCCATCTCATTAATTAATAGGTCGGGGCAAGGGATTCTTGGGGCTCCCTCTGCTCAGGTATGGACGTGGTGAGGGGTGGGCGTATCAGCGGAGGCTCCCTGCTTCCCCAAAGAGCCTAAGATTTACCTGCTTGCAGCTTCCCTTTTAACTTCTGCCTTTTGCAGGAGTTTGTTGCTGTTTGTTGGTTTTTTAAGTGATGCAATAAACCAGGACCCGTGACTCAGTGTTCCTGGCGGGGCTGGAAGAGAGAGGCTGAGGCCGGGAGGAGAGGTTAAGGAAGGGATGCTCCTGGGACTCACCCCCCAATGACCTGGATACAGTGTCCAACTCTGGAGGTTTAGGACATCACCTGGTTGAGAGGAGATGACAGATGAGTCCACGGGACCTGGAGAGGATGGACCACAGGGCAGGTTGGGCTTGTCAGAGAGCGGAAGCACCCACAAGCATTCTGGGCCCTGCCAGCTCCTGGAGCCTGGAGGTGTTTTCCTGGGTGCTGGCAGAGGCCAAGGAATGACTGTGGGGCCAGGTAGGCCAGTGGGCCAGAGTGGGGGTGTGGCTTTCCTTGAGCTTTTCAGCCCCGGAAAAATGGCTCTCCAGAGCTTGCCCCCTCTGCAGCCTTATTGGACTGGTGGCAAGAATGGCCCCTCTTGGCAGGCAGATGCTGTGGCCCAGCCTTTGTCTGCCTTAATCTGAGCCACCACGCAGCTCGGACTGATGAATAATGGAGCCAAGCTCGTCTGCAGACGCCTGAGCTTGAGCTGGACAAATCAGGGATTAGAGGGGCCTCCTGCCTGCCTCTCAGCCCCTTGCCTGACGTGGGGCTTTCTCTGCCAGTGTGCAGGGAAGAAGCTAAGAGAAGCCTGGCTGGCTCAGACCATTGAAACATCCAGTCAGGGATTAGCCGGCGTGGAGGGTGTGAGCTCCCTGTCCCTGGAACTTGGCAGGCAGCAGCTACGAGAAGGGTTGTCTGCCTCAAAGTGGCATTGTGCCACAGGTCCTTGGAACTTCCTTTTGACGTCTATCCTGTTGTAGAAACATCTTTGGACAGGATCATCTAGTCCATCATCCCCTTTTAAAGAGGGATGGACTGAGGTCCAGGGAAAGGAAAAGGGACTTAGGCAAGTCGCATAGTTGAGTTGGTAGCTGAAAAAGACCCCCTTGAAGGGTTGTTGTCAAGGTTAAATGGATTGATCTTTGTAAAGCCCTTAAGACAGTTCCTGGTACATAGTAAACACTATATAGGTGTTCACTACATGAGTTGCAACTGAGCATTTGCAAAAGTTTTCACAACAAGCCTGTGAAGGTTGTATTTCAGTCCCTATTGCACAGTTGAAATAAATGAGGCTCAGAGAGACTGGGAGCCCTACCTGAGGACACACAGCCTATGATTGGCCAGCTACCTCTAATTCCTGGCTTGTGTGAATCTAAAGTCCTGCTCAGGGTCCAGCCCAGTATTCTGGTGACACCAAGGGGCTTGAGGGACCCCAGTGGGAACCTGGGAGGAGGCCTTGCCAGCCCAGCCCAGAGATGGGCAGTGTTAGCTGACCCTTGAGCCCCTACACCTCCATCCCTCAGTTGATGTGCCAATTTCTCTGAAACCTGATCTGTTAGTAAAAGTTAGGGAGACGGGGTTGGGGGGGCCATGGGTGGAGGCAATTGCCCTGCCACCCTCTCCCGAGCTCCCTGGCCGGCTCCTGAGCATCTGCACCCTTCCCTCTGCAGGCTGTTTGGCACCACGGGAAACTGCGCTGCCTGCAGCAAGCTGATCCCAGCCTTCGAGATGGTGATGCGGGCCCGGGACAATGTGTATCACCTCGACTGCTTCGCCTGCCAGCTCTGCAACCAGAGGTGAGTGCTAGACGGGTAGAAAGTCCAACACACTCACTAGGCCCCAGGTGACTCCTGCCAGAAAGACCAGAAGCTGTGGAGGCCTGCATGCAGATGTGGGTCCTGTGTGTGCATGTGGCTGCATGTGCACGCTGTCCTGAGTACTAGTATGTGTGTACATATGTGTGTTTTATATATACCTAAGCCCTGTAGTCAAATGTGTGTGTTCCCACACTGTGTGTGCATGCACTGTGTATGCATACCCCTCTCTCCTTTCCATCTCTACCTCTGTCCTCTCTGGGTCTTTTCTTGTTTCTTTGTTCTGTCTGTGTGAATGTAGTGGATGGGAGCATGTGTGGGCTTACTGTGTATGCACAGGGTGCCATGTGCATGTGTGGTTTTAAATATCCATGTCCATTTGGGTATATGCATGTGTTTCTAGGTGTCCATATACAAATGGGGGTATGTGTGTACTCTGTGCGTGATGAGTAGGCATGTGCAGGAAAAGACCCATTTTAAATGTGCATGTACAAGGGTTCTGTACACATGCCCTGTGCCCTTAGTGTGTGCCATGTGCATGTATGTTCTAGTGAGAAGGGGTTCCCAGGCCTGGAGGGCGAAATCTCTTCAGGGAACAGCCCCTCCTTGGTGACCCCTCTTCTGTGATTCTGGTTCCAGCCCAGCCTTCTCTCTGGTCTTTTGGCCCCAGCCCTGTGGGAGACCTCAGGGACCTATGGGGCTAGCGCCCTCCTGGCTGGGGGGATAGGAAGGAGCGTATGCAAGTATTCCCAGAGGACTAGGTCCTGAGGGACCTGTAGGGAACACTGGCCTGGCTGGGGCTCTGCCAGACCCACTGCTAGGAGGGCTCGGTGACGTTGCAGCGCCACCTGGTGGTCATAGTGGGATCTGCTAGGACCCTGGGGTCTGCTCAGCCACCTTGGGGACATCTTTGAGGGAAGGGCTGAATCCTCCAGGACTTAAGGAAGACTGGATGAAGAGAGGGAAAGGCAGAGCCCTCCTTGGTAGGGGGCAGATGGTGGAACAGGGTCCCCTCCTCCTGGACAGATGCTCCAGGAAACCCACAGGTTCTGTTTAGAGAGAGTGCCTTTCACTGACCATCCTCTTAAATTGGGGAGGGGACAGAAGGGTGGGAAAATCAACTATTTTACTCCTTTCTCCTTCCCATCTCTACCTCTGTCCTCTCTGGGTCTTTTCCTGTTTCTTTGTTCTCCTCTCTCTTTCTCCCTCTCTGGGACAGGGGTAGCTTATTCCCATCCCTTCCCACTCACCCCAGCCCTCCATGGGGGCTCTGATTGGAAGGCCTGTGGCCCAGGCTTATCTGCCTGTCCCACCCCCCAGGCTGCAGGGCCTGGTGGAGGGCCGGGCTAACCCACGGACTTTAGGGTGTGCCCTCTGGAAAGTTCAAGGAGCAAGCCCCCCAGGGCCTCATGTCCCATGGTCCACTCCAGCCGAGCTGGGTTCTATGGGGCCAGAGCCCTCCTGAGTTCTGTCTGGGGGCCCCCACTGCCCTCTGGGACCCTTCTATGACCTGTCTCTCCTGCTTGGATTTTCCAGATTTTGTGTGGGAGACAAATTCTTCCTGAAGAACAACATGATCTTGTGTCAGATGGACTATGAGGAGGGGCAGCTCAATGGCACCTTTGACTCGCAGGTTCAGTAATGCCCGGCGCCTGGCCTCCGGCCCATCTGTCCGTCTGCCCGCCTGCCCACCGCCCGGCCGGCCAACTGCTCTCCCGCCAATTAGAACTCCTCCGTCCTCCACGGGAAGGACGGCCCTCCCTCCGCCGTTGCCCGTCTGTGTGTGACCCTCCTGGGGCCAGGCTGGGCCTGTACAGTCTGTCTTCTGTATATAAATGGGAACATTTATTTTATGAGAAATGTAATGCGATTTTATTACTGGCGTGGATTAAACTTATGAATGTTTCCGGGGAGGTTACTCTGCATTGATCACATGACTGACACAGACCTGGGCCCCCTCCCTGCTGCTTGACAGTGGGGGTGCTTTTGGGGGTGGAGGGACATGGAGCAGGGCATGGGGTTCTCCAGGTGGGTTTTAGGGGGGGAAAGCTGGAGGGATGGGGCAACCCCAAGCACCCCAGAGGTGGGAACTGGGGTGCCCCCTTCCCCTGGCAGAGCATGTACCCTGATTCTGAGCAGACCCCCAAGATGAAGAGAGGCAAGATGAAGACCTTTCTTCCCTGGGTTCCTCTGTTATATCAATCCACTGAGACCCCCTCTCTCTCTGCCCAGAGAGCAACCTAGCTCTGACCTCCTCCATAGTGGGACCCCAATCCGGAGCCCCCTACCATGGGAGTACCACCCTGAAACCCCTCTTTGCTTTCAGAGTGATGGGCAGCGTTTGCTGTCTCATTCCTGCAGCTGGGCCTGACTTGGGGCCCAGCCCCCTGCCTTTCTGGATGACTGAGAACAATCCTGCTCCCCTGTAACACAGCCCACGCAGCTGGAGGCTTTCGTTCACTCAGTCGGCAAACCTTAATCCACTGTCTCAGCCCCGAGCCTTAAGCACCAGACCTGAGGATGAATCATGAATCGGACACAGTCCGTGCCCTTGAAGAGGAGAGAGAAAGCCGGGAAAACAAACAGCGTGTCACGGTGAGGATGAACACTGCAGGGGGACCTGGGACAGGCCAGTTCCCTCCAGTGCACACAGGACCACTGGTGACAACTCCAGAGTCAGGGACAGATCAGCCAGCGGACACCCAGTCCGACACATGTGCTGGCAGGAGAGAGGGACACACAAGAGGTGGGTGTGTAGGCAGAGATAGGCTGGGACAGACTGGCAAGTGGACAGGCACTGAACTCAGGCCAGACAATAGCCTGGCAGGCAGACACCCGGGTGTTTTCTGTCCACCTGCTGAGCCAGGCTCACCCAGGGCAACAGGCATGCTGTCTTGTCTTGGCTGCAGCCACAGCACCCAGCACAGAGCCTAGAACTGAAAAAGCATCCTAGAGCAGTATTTAAGGCGGGGGAGTGGGGGGCTCCTGAGGTCCAACCTGACAGGGAAGGCTGTATGGACAGGCTCCCCCACCATCAGGCCACTTGCTGTCCTTCCCCAGGGACTTTTTACCCTGGCCACAGAACAGAGCCCAGGGCTGAGGGAGCCGGCCCACTGCTTCAACTGCCTGACCCTGGGCCGGAACCGGCTGCTGGGGTGGGCGGGCCTGGGCCTCCTGTCACCCTGACTTCAGGCTGCTCTCCAGGCTCTGATGGGCTAGGTCTCTAAGTTGTAGTTTTGTGGCCTGTGGCCTACTCCACGGGAAAGGATTGCTAGGGCCAAAGATCTTGGGGTAGGAGTTTTCAACTTTGGGGGCTCCCCCTCCTGTGAAGGAACTGCATCCATGTGTGTGAGAGAGAAGAGAGGCAGGGAGCCAGGCAGCCTGGCTGCTGTGGCTATTATGTGCCACGAGGCTGGTGAAACTGGGGAGCGACCTGATGAGATGGTGAATGAGTTTGGGGGCTGGAGCCCTGAATACAGGATTTTTCTTGCTCAACATGAAAAGGCAAGTTCTCTTCCTGGATCATAGCAGAGCCCCCAACGCCAGACCCTTCCTGGGCCCTTAGGTCTCAGGTGGCCGTGCCCACCCCAAGGTTCCCAACTACTAACTTCAGAGTTTGCTGCAGATAAAGTTGTAACACAAGTTAATTACATGGTTATCGAGAGATAACGGAGCCACTCGAATGCAGTTTCTGGGCAATTACAATTGTTTCCAACAGAGTTACCATATTGCAGCCATGAAATAACATGTCATTTTGTAGTAATTATGTAATTAACTTGTCTCACCACTCTAGGTTGCACAACAATTAATTCACTCACAATGAGATAGACTCAAAGTCAGGCAGCCAGGCTTTGAAAGCCCCCAAGAGCAGAGCTGGCCTTTGAAAAGGACCCCAGCCCCACTCTCCACCCCAGACCTCACCACGGGGCTTCCCAGCTCAGCCTGGCCAGGAACACACCTGGTCCAGCACCAGGGGCCCACATATTGCCGTTTCACTGTCCTCATTCAGGAAATGGACGGTCTGTTTCCCAGGGCAGCCAGGAGGCTGAGGTCTACACTGTGAAGCGCTGTGCTCACCATCCTGAGGCCCTAAGTAGAAGAGCCTTCATCCAGAAGTCTCACCGCAGCCCAGAGCTGCCCCCACACAGGCCTGCCTGTGCAGGTATGGAACCAGTAGGGGGCAGGGGAGGGAGCAGAGAGGAGGCCAAGCTCTCTCTGTAGCAGGGCAAAGGAGGTAGGGTTGGAATGGTTACTAGAGGCCAGGGAGTGTGCACCTGGAGAGGATTTGCAACTCGCAGAGGGGACCCAGGGAAAGCCTGACACCCCCCACCCCCACCCCCTAAGACACTGCATAGGAGAAACTTGGTTAAGTATAGGGCATGAATGGTCCTGGCTGGGGCCGCAGCCCATCACAGAGGGTTGGGGTACAGGGGAGCAAGGGAGCACTGAACATGAACCATTAGCGTCTGCAACAGCTCGACCCTCAGCCCAGGCGTGAGGGAGGTGGGATGTAGATGGACCTTTCCCCCAACCAGTCCATGGGCCCCTCTCTCCCCTCCTGCCCTCCGTGGCAGCCTGGTGTCATTGACACCCTAACAAGGGGCCTGAGACCCATGGAATACGACCCCGGCTTATGCCCCCACTCCTGGGACTGAAGCTGGACCCCGTAGTCTGTGTTTGGAAGAAGTTTGATTCTGATCTTGACGTTGCTGCAGGACCCATCGTGGAATCTCACCTGGGTCCTCTCTTCTCCTGGGTCTGGTCCTAGAATCCACGCCCTACATCTGGAGACACTCAGAGGCCATGGCAGAATCCGGGTGACATTCTAGCCTGGGAAACCTCATCTCTGCATGGAGACAATTGCCCCTCTCTTAAAGCTGTCGGAGGTAGTTAGGTAGTTGTGGCCCAACTCACTGAATCTGGTGCCGGGTGACGCCCACACCTCCCACCTGGGAATGCTGCCAGCAGGTGAGGGGAGGTTCAGGAAGGATGCTCTGCGGCTGTGACTGGGCATCACCTTTGGTGAAAATTCCTGAGAGGTTGCTGGCGGTCTATAAGTTGACATTTAGATTACCTCCAAACTGTAATTGCCTAAAAATGAGTGAATAAAGATAGGCTGATATGAAGATGAGTTAGTCCAGAAAAAACAAAACAAAACAAAACAAAAAAACACCACACTAGGTCAAGCTTTATTTGTCATGAGAAAATAACCAGATAAACCAAACACACACACACACTCACACACACATGTGCAGCTAAAACCCAGAAAGGAGTTCATCAGAACCTCATGAGCAAACCTCACCTCTGCGCCTGGGCCTGGGGCAGACTTTCACCTGCCTTAGCCCAGCGAGGCTGGGGGCCTCCTGCGCCGCCCCAGGCGTGAGCTTGAGGGTGCCCCAGATCTCTCGGACTCTTGGTATCTTCAGGTTAGACTGTTCGTGAGCTCCCTCCGATTAGTACCATCTTTGTCACCCCGTAACAGCCTCCCACCATGAGTCTGCCCCATGTGTCACCACTCTGCCCCTGCCGCCATGTTGACCCCCATGGGCTCCAATGGTCTCCAGCACTCACCACCCCCTCTAAGCTCCAGTGCGTGTATTGTAAGCTTCACATCAAACTTTTTCCACCCCGTGGTTTCTCCCTCTCACCACCTGCACCCTCTTCGTGGAGCAGGGAACATCCTTGCTAGGCTCCGTGGGCCTGGGTCAGACCGTGTTACCCTTCCTAGGGGCTCAGGGCTGCACCTGGTAAGGGGATACCATTGCTGCTCAGAGCACCCAACTGGGGTGCTGGCAGAGGCAAGAAATCCTTTGCTATGAAACTGCCGTGGGGGCTGTCTCAGCCCTGATTCTCTGAGCCCAAGACAAACAGCCCAGTCCCCAGACTATCCCACTGGCACTGTGTGTGGCCTTTTCAGGGAAACTGTGAGCCCTCAGGGGCTCAGGAGCCCTTTGGGGTGGAACCTGCACCCCCTGATCCCCTGCCTTCTCCAGGGGCACAACCAGATTCCAGGAGGAGCTGGTGCGGGCCCCTCGGGAGCTGATTTATGGACTCTGCCTCCTGGGTCTGCTCTGTGAGCAGAGCGGGAGCCCTGCGGGCTGCCCACATTCTGGCAGGCGCAGTTTTGTCTTCCAGAGTCTGAAGGTGTTAAGGGACTGAGGCAGTTCCTGGGCCAAATTCCTTATTCTGATGGGTCTCCCTGCGGCTCCTGGATAATATAGGGGCTCCCCCCACTGGGGGTCCGAGGGCTCCTCAGAATGACCTAGTCTCCCCTTCTCCTGCCTTCCTCCCCACCTGCCAGATCAGAGTCGGAGAAGCACCCTTCCCTGAGATAAAGTGTCAGAGAGAGATGAGAGCAAGTGGAGAGAGGGAAGGGAGGGAAGGAGGACGAGGAAATGGGGAAAAGGGGCGAGGAGGGGGAGAGAGGGAGACAGATGGGAAGAGGTGAGACAGGGCAGGAGAGGAGAGAAAGAGAGAATGGGCAAAGGGTCTGGGAAGAACCTTTTAGCCTCAGGGAAGGTGCGGGGCAAGGGCCGCCGTGGCAGCAAAGGGCAGTGTGGCATGGTGGTGGCATGTGGCCCAGGGGCCAGATTACGTGGGCCCACATCACAGCTCCTCCGCTTGGCAGCCGCACCCATGAGTGTCCTCATCTGTACGAGGGGATGCGGTCAGTGCCTGCTTCTCAGGGCTCCCTGCGTGTCGAGGACTCATCGCATGGACAGCACTGATCACAGGTGCTCTGGCTCGTGGTGAACATGGGACACGCACTCCATACACCCACACCAGGTCGCTGGGCCTGAGGCCCGGGCCCCTCCCACAGGGCTTCCCCAGCAGCCTCACCCCTCAGCTGCCCCTGGGCATTGGTTTGTGCTCTCTGTAAAGGGCACGGCACGCTGGCACCAGCGGGGGACAAACCAA